TTCTCGTCTGGATGCCTCCTGACTCTGAGCAGGTTCCTGCTCAGAATCCATCCACAACCTTCTCTCTGTCGAAGCTAATTCAGGACACACTCCTCACCTGGCCTTTCAAGGTTCTCAGCAATATGGACTCAAATCACCCAATCATGAAGCCCGTTCTCTCTACCCTTAACCATTGCAGATCTTGCCCTACGCCTTCTGGCCTCTTTGCCTTTGCCCCTGCCATTCGTTAACCTGGAATTCTTTTTTGTCCATCTTCCAGCTCTGTCTATACCTATTCCTTCTCCATTCAGTGTTCTTCTGCCTCAAGGATATCAGATGTGCTTTTCCCTCGCCTGATACACTTTAGTCCCAGTCATTGGTATAGCTGCTGTTCCTTCTGAAGGACACTGAGCACTTTTAGGTACAGCCCAGGGATTCTCTCTGTAGTTTGGCCTGAAGTGCTAAACACATTGTGTTACACCTATAGGCTCTCAATCCATGTGGAAATGAAACTGAATTAACAGCCTTTAGGCTCTTGTTCCTGTTGCCCCACCTCTGGCTAAGACCGACTCCTCTGTGTCAAAGAAGAGGTCGATTCTTCCTTTCCATCCAAATTTCTGTGGGGAAACTTACAACTTTTTCTTACACAAGATGAGATATAAATAGTGATTTCTCATGTCCCTTTCATGGGAATTCAACCCACTTTCCTTTTTGTGCATCCTATCGGAGAAGGAGAGTTTCCATGATGAAAGCTGAGCCTGCAATGGGATCATTCTTGTCACACTCAACTAAAACAGAGTCGAGAGACCAGGGGCAAAAAGCACTCAGGGCACAAAATGTAATTCTCTGCAAGCCAGGGTGCTGCCGCTGCCTGCCCTAACCCGAAACCAGCTTTACCTACAGCTTCTGAGATACCTTGCTACAACTCTAGGACTAGTTTTACCCACACCACTGCTCACCCACCAGAGCTTGCCCAGCTCCCCAAAGCCAGTGATCTTTCTTGGAGGGCAATATGTAACATTTCTCCTTTTTATGAACCTCTGACCTTCTCTTTATTCTAATGACATACTGGAGACCACCCGGTCTGTATGTATATCCCAAATTGCAATTCTCTCCTTAAAATAAAATGTTTTAATTTAGAAGATTTGGATCTATATTTTAATTGACCTCATCACCTCGTTCATGTGCACCCCCAACCCCCCACCAGCCCACTCTTACCCCTAGAGCCAGCTGCTCATAACTTATCCCGGCTCTGGAAGGTACAGTGTCGCCAGGACGGAAAAGAAACTGCTTCAGAGAATCTCCGGCTTTTAGCAGTTGTGTCAAAGCTGATTCCTGGTGGATGTGGATATTGATGTGGGTGGGCTGGGATGGCGTAGAGGACACAGCAACACCATTCACGGTCACCATGTTTTGGGCCATCCTGCCTGCCAGGGAGAAGACACACAGAAGTGAGGTGTGGGAACCAGGTGAGGGAAAAATACACGGCATGAGTGAGAGGAGAGAAACTGTGTCTTTGTCAAGATCCCAGTCGGGCACGGTGGCTCACGCCTGTAATCCCAGCACTTTGGGAGCCCAAAGTGGGTAGATTACTTGAGGTCAGGAGTTCAAGACCAGCCTGGCTAATGTGCTGAAACCTCTTCTCTACTACAAATACAAAACTTCTCCGGGCATGGTGGTGCATACCTGTAGTCCCAGCTACTCAGGAGGCTAAGGCAGGAGAATCACTTGAACCCAGGAGGCCGAGGTTGCCGCAAGCCAAGACCACGCCACTGCACTCTAGCCTGGGTGACAGAGCGAGATTCCGTCTCAAAAAACAAACAAACAAACAAACAAACAGACAGTGTCTTTGTCAAGCTCCAACGAGTCTTTCCTTTGGAAATACAGATATCAATGTCACAGTGACCTCAGTTATTCAGTATATATGTGTATATATCTTCATACAGAATACTTTACACATACACATTTGAGAGATACAACAGGGTATATATACCTTTAAAACCTTATCTCTCATTTTTTCCCTCAAACACTATTTGCCTTGCAGATGGAAAGTAATATTATCAGTTTCTTATAAATCCTACAATGACATTTTTGCATACAAAAGTGTGAAAAAGTATTCCTCCCCACTTTTCCCACAAATACCAGCATACCACACACATTGATTTGCACGATGCTGTGTTCACATCATCATATGTTTTTAGAATAATCCTACATGAATCCATAAAAAGTGTCAACCTAAATAACAGAGAGAGGCTCTCCAAAAGAAAATGAGATTTATTCAGGAATAGGGCATTGCAATGGGGATATGCTTGCCATAGTAAATCACATGCACATTCAGGGAGGTAAAGGAAGACAAAAGGTTTTAAAGAAAAAACAGGGAGACTTACATAATTGCTTTGAGATGATTATCCCTGGCTATAAGGACCAATAACAAGTGTGAGACAGTCCAGTCCAGGGTGAGACAGGCAGTTGCTGGTGAACGTCCTTGCAGAAGCATTTTTTTCTGTCAGGTTGTGATGGCCTTTATGTAAGGTCATCATTTTACAGAGTTCTTTGTGATGATTTTGTTACCAGGTATTTACACAGGAGAATCCTGCCTTGTGGGCCTTCCCAGGCTCTAATTTTCAGATTTTTTTTTTTAAACACAAGTGACTCTATTCTGATTCTGACAACTTTCACAAAAGCTTCTTCAGTCATTTGTGTCACTGCTTACATTTCCAGAGTATGAATTCCTCATAATTTATTTAAGTGGTTCCCTGTTGGTAGACATTTAGGTTATTTCTGATCCTTTTCCATTGCAGACAATGTGGAATTGGCAGGGCAACAGGAAAGTACATTTGCAATTTTAGTAGATATTGTCAATTATCCTCCATGGAGGTGGTAGCAATTCATGTGCAGGAGGCAAACTCTTTTTATCTTTTTCATTTATATGGGGAAAATTGCTTTCCACTGTAGATTTTCATCAATTCTATGTAATAAGATGTCCCATTTTAAATGTATATCTTAATGAGTTTTGACAGAGTTATACATTTGTGCAATTACTGCTTTCTGTAACTATTTCCACATATATATTTTTTTTAGCCTTTATTCCCACATATTTTTAATCCACCGTTCTCTTTTATCTGTTTTAGAGAGAGAGCTGGGGGTCTTGCTTTGTTGCCGAAGCTGATCTCAAACTCCTGGACTCAGGCAGTCCTCCCACCTCAGTCTCCCAAAGTGCTGTGATTACAGGCATGAGACACCACGCCTGGCCCATAGTTCTCTTATTATGAGTGAGGTTCATCGTCTTTTCATACATTAAGGGCCATTTTTATTTTTTCTTTTGTGAGCTCCCCGTTCACATCCTATGTTTTTGTTTGTTTGTTTCTTATGGAAGTTCTTTATTCACAAAAATTACCATCTGTGATATGAGTTTCAAGTGTTTCTTTACAATTTGTGGTTTATTTTTTGACCTTGCTTGCATTTTCATACAATTCAAGTTTCATTCTATTTATGGTGTCTAGCTCTTATACTTTTAAAGGACTTCCCCGTTTCAAGATTATAAAATAATTCTTCCATGTTTTCTTCTAAGTGGCTTTACGCTTTCAGCTTTCACTTTTAAATGTTGACCCATCTGGAATTTGGAAGTTGGAAGCCCAGCCTTGGCCGTTGGGAGACACGGATCCCAGCTCTGTTGCTGTCATTCAGATGTTTAACTTCTGAAGGACACGTTCCATTTGTAGAAAATACATCCTCTTTTCCTCACTGATTTAAAATTCTCTCCTGAGCAAAAATGAAGCGCCCCTAGGAATGTAGGCCTATTCTAGTCTTTATATTCTGCCCGTTGGCATGTCTCATGGGTTATGCATCATTACCACAATTTTAATATGGAACTTAAAGCTAATGGGGCTGTTTCATGATCCCCTCATGGGGTTTTTCTTTCAGAATTGTCATGGCCATTTTTGCTAGCTTACTTCTTCACCTGCACTTTGGAATCAGCTTGCCTGGCTCTAAAATAAATCCTGCATAAGCAATTCTAATGGACATCCTGGCTAAGTATCACAGTTTAAATCCAATATTATTAACAATTCGAATAACACCTCCCATTCGTACTCCACTTACTTTTCAGAGCAGTTTCTCTCTTTCACCCACCTGGCCTCCTTGGGGTTAGAAAGGACAGGAGTTTGACAATTCCGCAAATGCACAAAGTAGAGTCAGACTGATTCCCACCAAAGGAAGCCCAGCCCCAGTTTCCAGCCAGACCTTCCCTTGAAGGCCCGGGCCCTGCCCTGAGCGTATCTCAGGTTCCAGCTACCTCCGGGCCCCCAGGACCACCGCTTCCCCCGCCCCACGTCAACCCCGAGATCTGCCTCGCCCCCTCCAGGGAAAGCGTCCGGCAGCCCCGCCACACCCTGGCCCCGTCCCAGGAGCCACCCCACCGAAGGGCTCCAGCCAGGGGCCAAGAGTTCGGGGAGGAGGAAGGTGGAGGAGACGCGCCAGGCCCAGGCCTCTCCTCCCGCTCTCCAGCCGCTTTTCTGGGGTCACCTCCTGCACCCTCCCACGCGAGTACTCGGGGAAACCAGGATGGAGGAAAAAAGGCGTCCTGTGGACAGGACGGGTCGGGGGCATGGCCCTGGGGACTCCTCGGGACAGAGGGTCCTGCGGCAAGAGGGTCTCCCGGCCCCACCCCTGCCTCACCTGCCGTCCTCGGGGAGCCAGCGGCCGAGCAGAGCCGGCAGGAGCTGACCCAGAGCGGGGGAGCGGCGGGAGGGCGGGGACGGCGGGGACAGGGGTGGGGGCTGCGGCCCCGCCCAGGCTGCACGGTTTCCCGAAACCAGCTTCGGCCCGGGGCCCGGCAGGGGGGTTCCGCCTGGAGGAGCGGACCCGGTGGGAGGAGGCCGAGCCCCCGCCCGCGCCCTGCGTTCCCACTCGCGCACACTTGCGCGCCAGCCCTGGCCGGGTGGGGCTGTGGGCGAGGATGACCCCACGGGCTTTCCCAGGGCTGGCCGCCCGCGCACCCTCCCAGCTCCCCAGAGCCCAGTGACCCACGCGCAGCGAGAGAACCCCAGACGGACCCCAGGGCCGGCCGCCTGCCGGGAACCCGAGGGGCTGAAGTTCAGCCCCACCCCCGCCTCCGCCTACCCCTCCGACTCCGGACACACTTTCCCTCCCACCGCCGCCCCAGCCCTCCTGCCGCCCGCACGAAGGTCCCGAGGAGCGCAGGTGAGGCGGCGCCCCACTCCCGATGGCCCCCGGGCCTCCTTCAGCACGCACCGAGCTGCCTCCGCACAGCTGGCGGAGGGTAGGAGGGACCCCCCACCCGGGGATGAGACTGCAAAAAGGGGGCTGCGGAGTAGGCCGGGTGCAGCCCCGGCCTCTGACCTCCCTCTGCACCGCCGTGCGGTCCTTCCCAGGGCATGGGCAGCGTGAACCCGTCGGGCCTGAGCAGCCATCCCTGGAGCGGGAGGTCGGTGGGGTGGCGGGTGGAGGACCCGGGGCCCAGCTGGGGCGAGGCTGCAACCACAGGAGCTCCACATGCAGCCAAGGGGAGGCTGTGGGGGGAGGCCACAGGAAGAGCCCGGGTGGAGGGGGTGAGGGGTGGGGGCGTGGGGCGCTGCTAGACCCAGACGCCAGAGCCCTTCGAGGAGGATGCAGGGGACAGAGCAGATCTGGGGCAAAAGGGGAGGTTCCCGCAGGCTCAGCAGTCGCCACAGCCCCATCATGGTCATCAGCCCCCTCTGCTACACACACTCCCTTTGAGAGGGGGCCAAGGTGTGGCTCTGTAACCAGGACAGCCATTCATTCGGTGACCCTGAGCCCCACTGGCCCCTGACCTCCCCAACTCCAATGAAATCTACAAAAGTCTTCTGACAGCCCTTCCTCCCTGGTGTTTCCTTCCTAACAGAGGGTATTCCTGACCATGGGGACAGCCGACAGTGGTGAGATGGCCCCCGAGACCCCACAGCCCACCCACATTGATGTGCACATCCACCAGGAATCTGCCCTGGCCAAGCTCCTGCTGACCTGCTGCTCTGCGCTGCGGCCCCCAGCCACCCAGGCCAGGGGCAGCAGCCGGCTGCTGGTGGCCTCATGGGTGAGTGTGGCGGCCTGCCTCATGGGGCTGCGGAAGGGACTCCCTAGTCCCCTCACAGCAGACCAATGTAAGGGCCCCCCTCCTGCCGCAGCAGCACCCTCTGCCAGCCTCCCTCTGAACTTAGGGATGTGCTTCTCTGGCCTTCTCAGTAAGAGCCTGGGGAGGGGAGGCTCTGGGCTCAATGGGGTGTGGAGGTGCCACTGACCATGCAGAGAGTTCCAGTCGGTGGAGCCCTGAGTCCATCCTTTCCTCTGGGTCAAACTCCAGATGGGCCACTCTCCTCTCTCCTTCCTCTCCCTTCTCTTTTCTCCTCCACCTCCCTCTTCCTTCTCCTCCTCCTCCTCTTCCTTCTTTCTCTTCTCTCTCTCTCTCCCACCCCACCCTCTCTTTTTGGGGTTTTAGCCATTAATCCCCGCAGGGGCAGGTCCTCCTAGGAGCCAGGATCTTGGGTCCTTTGTCGTTCAGGTGATGCAGATCGTGCTGGGGATCTTGAGTGGGGTCCTCGGAGGATTTCTGTACATGCGCAGGTTCACCCTCCTGGTCAGCTCGGGAGCTGCCATCTGGACAGGGGCTGTGGTGAGTAGAGCAGACTGGTGCTCGATGACCTGTGGGAGGTGTGGGGACATTGCTCTCCTGATTGCCCTCCTCCAACATGGCACCACAGAATGCTGGCAGTCAGAAAGATCTGATCATCTAGGCCCATTCCCTGCCTGTACAGATGAGCAAACAGCGGAGGGCACTGGCGGCGTGTCCTAGTCACACTGTCCGCCCTCCCAACGCCTGCCCAATGCTGCTCCCATCAGGCTGCCTGCCTCTCCCCGCCTCAACAGTAAATGTCAACTAAGGATCTAAGGACCTGCCCATCTCCGGATACTTGTGTTGAGATGGCGGAGGCAGAATGTGCAGATAGTATGCGAGCGCCCAGGAAGCATCACACTTGGTTATTCCCATTGTCCTCCACAGGCCCTGCACACAGTAGGAATCCAGGAATTATTGTCAATAGATGGGTGTGTATAGTTTGCACAGGAGCTGGGTGGACTGGTCATGGTGCCAAACCCTCAGAATAGCAGTATAACGCACATATTTGCTGGTAATCACCTTCACCCAAACTATGGCAAAATACCCGGATGAGTTACAGAATTAGCCAAACAGGATTCAGGCCCACCTGTCCACTGGGATATACTAGATTTCCTGTTCTTCAAGCCCAGTTGAATGGATCATTGGGCACTGTTAGGACAGGCTTCTAGACCTAAACGTGCCCACCCTGTACAGATTCACCCTTTATTGAGAGCTTCTCCAGCACCCTATGGCTTTATCTACAAGATCCCACCATCCCTGGAACTTTGATAAAGCACTTGCTGTTGTTTAAAAAGGAAGGTTTAGAGAAGGAAGAGGGGCTCACACCTGGCTTGACCACAGGCTCTTAGGCGTCACTAAAGCAGGGCCTTCTGCGGCCTCAGGAGTTGGATCCTGGCTCCACCCTCTCAGCAGCTAACATTACCATGGATAAAAAGGCTTCGCATGAAACCTCCGGCCCAAGCAGAGTGTGCTGGGGAAGGGCCTGCTGCACAGAGTCTCTTTCATGGGAGGGGACTCGCATTCCCTGTGCTCAGACTCCTACTGGCTCAATCTCTCCCCAGGCTGTGCTGGCTGGAGTTACTGCCTTCATTTACGAGACACGGGGTGGTACCTACTGGGTGAGTTCAGAGAAGGGCATGGGAGGGGACCAGGCTCAGGCTGGAGGCCACCCCAATCTCCAGCCCTATCACAGGCTTCTCTGGGACTTGCCCTCTTTTCCCCAGACTGGACTCTGGGAGAGACAGAATCACGAAGATTTCTCTCTGCCTCCTCCCTCCCCAGTCTCTGCTGAGAAGTCTGCTAGAGCTGGCAGCTTTCTCCACAGCCATTGCTGCCCTCGAGCTTTGGAACGAAGATTTGCGATATGGCTACTATTATGGCGACAGTTTGTGCCGCATCTCTACCTTCAGTAACTGGTACAACACCCCAGCCCCCACTGACAGTCCAGAAGAAGTCAGAAGGCTCCAACTGTGTACCTCCCTCCTGGACATGCTGAAGGCAGGTGGCCCAGGGGAAGGGCAGCAGCAGGTGGGGCAGGGATGGCCTGCAGGCAGGCCAGGCTGGGGGCAAGAGTCAGGTTCTTCACCAGAAATAGGTGTTACAGCAAGCTTGATTATTGTCACCAAAGACAAAGCATCACACAAAACAGAAGTGGCTCCTGTAGTTGTGGGTATTAACAGACTAGTGGGAAATACAAGCATTAAAAGAATAAATGAACCAATACTGTAAGTGTGCAAAGATGTTAAATGCATGTTTTCCCTTGGTCCTCTCAAGTCTTAGAGGTTATAGGGAATCAAACCATCGCCCAAACCTGTCACTGTGCAAATGAGGACACAGGCCCAGTGTGCGGGGTTTCCAGCCGCATTCCGCACACTGGATGCATTGACTTCCCCTCTTGAAGCCACAAACTTGGAGATAAAGGGATAGAGATTGACCCAGATCAGCAAGGAGTATGGGGACAGAGCAGGAAGGCAGCTGTCATCCTGGTGCTTACAGCGTGGCTCCTCTGTCCCCAGGCCTTGTTCATTACCCTTCAGGCCATGCTCTTGGCTGTCTGGATTCTGCTGCTTCTGGCATCTCTGGCCCCTCTGGGGCTGTACTGCTGGAGAATATTCTCAGCCATAAAGGTGAGTTCCTCAAGTGTGTGCCTGTGCGTTTGGGGCAGTGGAGCTGCTCAAAGGAGACAGGAATGGACAGTTGACAGTTTGGGGAGGAGAAAGGGGCCCATGACACAAATCCCAAGTATTATCATGCCTGTCTTTCTACCCCAGTGGTGGCCCAGTCCAGAAAGCCCCTGTCCCCAACCAAGTGGCCTCCAAGCCAAAGAGCCCAGTAATCCAGGGAAGTCCATATCCGTGCTATGCCTTTGCATCAGGTACCACGCAGCTGATTCTGGTAGCTCACAGCTAAGCTGCCCTGGAGGAGAGACTCCACCCTTTCTCTCCCCCTGATGGTTGTCTTGCCCTTCCTCCCCCCTTAGAAAAGAGACAAGAAGGAGATGTTGGAATGAGTGGAATCTAGCCATGCGTCTCCTGATAATAGCACCTGGTGCGCCTGCACTGGGCATCCCTGCATCTGACTGCTGGAAGAAGAACCCGACTGGGGAAAAGAGACTCTCCAACAGCCCCAGTTATCCTGCCCCTAGGACCACGGCCACAGCCCTGCTCCAGCAGCGCTTGCCCATTCCTTGCACCCCTTCCCCCATCCTGCTCCGCTTTATGCCCCCTCCTAAGCAGTCATGTGATAATAAACTCTCACGTTATCATGCCCAGGTTCTTGCTTAGTTATTCCCAGGAATTTCTCTTGGCTGGGGGAGGAAGTGGAGAAGGAGCCGACAGCAAACCTCAGACACTCTTAGCTCCCCAACCTCCTGCCTCAGGCTAGAGTTGCTGGCCCTGGAGCTAGAGCCTCTTTGAGGCTGGTCCGGTGACTGTAGGTTCAAAGGCCTAGAAATAAAGGATGAAGGGGGCTGAGACTCTGAGCCCACTCCCTATCACTGACATTTAAGAAGGTGAATGCTTGGCAATTTAAGAATTAGAATTTTTTTTTTAATTTTGACTGTCTGAAAAGATTAAGTAGACAACCTATAGCACATCCAGCAATAAAGAAAGGACATCCAACAATATGGCAAGATAGAAACCATTACAGATTGTCCCATAAAAATTCCTAAAACTGCTGGATAAAATATGAATCATGTATTTTTAAATTAATGACTATACTATCAATAAAAAGATGGAAGCCATCAAAGCCCAAAGTAGAAGTCGGAGCCAGAATTCAGAGAGTGGAAGCCAGTATCTGCCTGCATCCGTCCCACAACCACCCACGTACCCAGTGTTCCACCTGAAGGGCACGCAGGGCTCAGCATGTAGTTGCATTCATGGCTAAGTTATATTACAGTAAAAGGATACACAAGGTGGGGGGGGCAGGGAACACATCAGGTGGACTCTGGAAGAATAATCCAGGCACAGGCTTCCTATTTCCTCCTACAGTGAGAGGCCGCACAGTAACACAGCAGTGTTTCTGCCCAGGGAAGCCCACCTAGGACTCCAAGACCAGGGTTTTGATTGAGAGCTGGCCACACAGGCAGCCTCTCCACCTGCACGGCTACTGCAATTTCAGACTCCCAGAAGAAAAGCAGGTGTCCATCTGAAATCACATTGTACGGTCCAGGCAAGCTGATAGAGTGGAATTTAGTACACAGGCACACAAACCACCGTATCAGCATAGGGACATTCCAGAAGCCCAATTCCTAGAAGACAGCAAAAGGTAGCAAAACCTGGTAAAGGGCAGCCCCCTGTGTTAACTCTTTCCTGCTCACTGCCCTAACGGCATCTGCCCACCTCTTGCAACCCAAAACTGCACTTAATAACTATGTGAAAGACAGTAAATACCACTTAAACTGGAGAGTCACAGTGAAGAACCCAGTATAAATCTCCAATTTCAGAGAACAATTGGAGGGAAAAATCCACTCCATCAAGAGAGATGACAAGTTAACTCTTGGTGAAAGGGGTCAGATGAAGATTCATGAATATAAGCTGGCCCTAACATGGACTTAATGGACGGAATTCTCACTCCTTGGACAAACCCCCAAACCCTGAGAAAATAATTTAAAGGTCCTCAAGATGATAATGACTCCTGACACCTGTCAGAAACAAATGCAAATTCTGCCTGGAGAAATTTACCTTCAACTAAGTCCTTAAAAGATCTGCATGACTATACTTTTTAAAATGAGACATAGAAAGCAAAAAAAAAGGATGACGATTATAAATTACGTTTATGAGTAACTGCAATAAATACAAATGGATAAAATGGTCCATTTGAAATACAGTATAGACTGTTATTTTTATAAAACTCATCCATATGCTATTTACATGAAAAACAACTAAGCAAAGATACAGAAAAATAGTAAAAAGATGGGGAAAAAGATATACAACCAAATTAGTATGGCTCTATTAAAGTCAGCCTTTAAGGTTACGAGCATTCCTGGAGACAAAGAGGCCACTCATGGTCACTCATAGTTGTTCCCTCCTTCCTTACTAACAGAAACTCAGTTTTGTTTTGTTTTCCATTGCTACTCCCAGCCTTCCTTGCAACTGAGGATTGTGATAGCCCACACTCCCAGCCAATGAGGGGTCGAGAGAATTCAATGGGAACAGAAAGAATTGGCTGGTTTCCCTACTGTCTCCCCTCTGCTTTCTCCCTTTCTGCCAGAAATCAGGACCCCTTACCTGACACTGGAGGAGCCATTTTGTGGCCAAGCGAGTAACAGCCACAGGCAGGAAATGATGCAAAAGACTAAGGAGCCTGGACCCTCAATATCATAATTGAATATGCCCAACCAATCCTGGATACTTACCTTTTTTTGAATTGTACTTTAAGTTCTGGGGTACATGTGCAGATCTTGCAGGACTGTTGCATAGGTACACACATGCCATGGTGGTTTGCTGCCTCCATCCCCCTGTCACCTACATCAGTCATTTCTCCCAATGTTAACCCTCCCCAACCTCCCCATCCCCTGCTGTCCCTCCCGTAGCCCCCTACTCCCCAACAGACCCCAGAGTGTGATGTTCCCCTCCCTGTGCCCATGTGTTCTCATTGTTGAACACCCGTCTATGAACAGCTCTATATGAGAAAAAATAAATGCCTTGCTGGCTTTTTTAAAGGAATTTTTTAAATTTACAATAGCAATAAAACTGTAAAGAACTTAAAAATAAATCTGGATACTCAAGACATTGGTAAAGAAAATCATACAACTTTATTGAAAAATATCAGTGAATACCTAAATAAATAAGAAGACATATACCATGTTCATAGATGGGAGGACTCCATTTTGTAAAGATGGCATCTCCTGCAAATTCAATGGAATCAAAACCAACATCTCACCAGAGTTTTCTTATTATTTGATTGGCCAATTCTCAAGTTGATACAGAAGATCAAAGTATCAAGAATGTCAAAGAAAATTTCCATGTCCCCTGAAATCCAAATAAATAGATAGACAATACAAAGAGTCAAACCAGACTATAGCCCCAGTTGGCAGCGCTGTCCCAAGCAACAGGGGAATAAAGCTGGCATGGTGCTCTGGAAGAGTTCTGAACTTGCAGTCAGAGACATAAGCACAAATCTCAGCACTCTCACTTCCTAGCTTCTTGACCTTGGGTCAGCTACAAAAACTTCCTGAGCAACAATCTTTGTATTTGTAAAATGTGGATAATTATATCTAAAAAAACCCAGGGCTAATGTGAGGATCAAATGATACCTATAATTCTAGAAGTGTCTAAAAACTGGATATCCTACAGTATGAATTCGTCAAATAAATGTGGATTGCTATCAAAAAATTGGGGAGAACAGAAAGTACTCACCAATCCCCACATCCTCTTTCCTCCTTACTTCAGAGGAAGTATAACAGAGTCCCCAGATGGGAATATAACCTCCTTTGTTCAAACTTCTAGAACGGGCATGAGGAAAACCAGAGCTATATACATCATCAGTGGGACTGACCATGCAGACACCATAGAAGGTGTGGTTCTCAGTGCACAGGAGCAGCATGAAGTGGCCTTTGGCAGAGACTGGTGTTGTTGCCCAATATTCATTCTTGCTTCCTTTATTTTTTGTAATAGGTCCTCTGGATAAAAATTGGACACATAGCTTCTTGGAATGGAGACTAGATTTCCCAGCCTGCTTTGGTGACTTAATCCTAGGTAATGAGATTTAAGAGGAAGTAGTGTGCGCATGTCCTGGGAACATCCTTTAAGACAGAGGTGCCCTTTGCCCCCATTCTCTTTTTTGATGCTTGGAGTGCAGGTGTGATAGCAGCACTATAATGAATGCTTATACTTTTATTTGTCTCAGTATTAATTCTGAATATTAACTGGACTTTCCCATACCAGCAGCAGGGCTCAGTCACCCTCAATACAGTTTCCAGTTCTACACTTCATACCCATTCCTCTACGTGGCCAATCCAGATGGCTGCCTTATACAACTGCCTCCTGGTGACCAGCTCACTATGGAACAACTGGATACAGCCTGCCCCACTGGCCCTGCTGACCCCCACACCCTGCATGGCCTGTGCAGACATGCAGCAGTGACCATCTCTGCATTTGCCTGGAACTCATGCCTGCTTGCTCTAAATCCACCAACCAAAACTCCCTGTGGGAAACCAATTTAGATCATGTCCTGCACCCAATAAAGGGGTCCAGTTCTCTCTCTCCCTGCCTGTGTTCCCTGACCTCCAGGCATGCTATGTGGCCCCCAGAGTCTGCAATCACTAAAATCTCTTAACTTTCACATTGTGGTTGTGTCACTGAAGCCATGTCAGAGTTCTGACCCCTATGGCAGGGCTTCCCCAAAGGCACCCATGCAGGTGGATGTCCTGCTGGTGCTCTTTTGTCCAGGCCTCTGTTAGCTGCTGTGGACAGTAGCTACCAGCCAAGTTGATGGAAAAAAAAGCTGTTTTGAATTAAGAGTTTCATTTAAAACATGGACCGGCCGGGTATAGTGGCTCATGCTTATAATCCCAGTACTTTGGGAGGCCAAGGTGGGCGGATCACCTGATGTCTGGAGTTCTATACCAGCCTGGCCAACCTGGAGAAACGCTAGCTCTACTAAAAATACAAAAATCAGCTGCGCGTGGTGGTGCATGCCTATCATCCCAGCTGCTCAGGAGTCTGAGGCAGGAGAATCACTTGAACCCAGGAGGCGGAGGTTACAGTGAGCCAAGATCGAGCCACTGCACTCCAGCTGGGTCAACAAGAGCAAAATCCCATCTAGGAAAAAAAAAATGGACCTAGAGCAAGCTATCTTGGGCCATGAGGTGATTTGGGAATTATATCCATTCACTGAAGAGCAGTGGGATAGAGAGTGTGCCCCATGCACAACATACTAATCCTGGGGTGCCTGCCTAGATGTGGATGTATGAAGAAAGTTCGTGTTTGTTTGCATATTCTGTCCCTCACAGCCAGACATAACTCTAATAAATTTTCACCTCAGAAAGAATCATCCTAAATGTGCATGCACTTAACAACAGAGCTTCCAAGTACATGTAACAACTGCGGATAGAACTAAAAGAAGTTGTCAAATCCACAATTACAGCTGGAGAGACAATAGTCCTCTCCCAGTAATAGGTAGAATGAGCAGACAGAAATTAGCAAGGATGTAGAAGAGCTGAACCACACCATCAACAACTGGATCTCATTACATTTATAATACAATCCACAATAACATTAGAATACACATTCTTTTCAAGTGTTCATGGAACATTCACCAAGACAGACCATATCTTCGGTTATGAAACAAATCTCAA